TACCGGTCCCTCCCTTACTTCCAGCCGGCAACCCGGAAGGGTCGGTCTGCCCAGGCTTTAGGTGCCTTACGGTCTCCTTTCTCTTAGTACATGCTTCCAGAGCACATGTCCTTTTCCTCCAGTTGGTGACCCGGCAGTTCGGCTGGTGTGTCCCCCACTTAAGGACCTGGTCGCTCGGTTCTCAGATCTCAGTTTCCAGTTCCAAATTCAGTCTTCTTGTAGCACCGTCAAAGATCAGGCTTAGTATTTACTCAGATAGTTTAATTATAATATTTATATATTTTTGAAATTTAAATAGTTGCAAAATTTATTAAATAAATTCATAAATTTTTAATGATAAATAGTGTTCAGCAGATTATTACGGTCATAATAGTAGTTAAATCATTAAAATTGGCCCAATATTTGCTGAGATAGCTTAATTATAATATTTATATATTTTTCAAATTTTAAAAAAATGTGAAATTTATTAAGTAAATTTATAAACTTTTAATAATAAATAGGGTTTAGCAGATTATTACAGTTATAATAGTAGTTAAATCATCAAAATTGGTCCAATATTCACTAAGATAGCTTAATTATAATATTTGTGTAATATTTCAAATTATTATACAATATTGTATAATATTTGAAATATTATACAAATTTGAAATAATGCACAAATATTAGAATTAAGCTATCTTTGTAAATATTGGGCTAATTTTGATTATTTAATTATTATTATAACCAAAATAATCTGCTGAACCTAATTTTATTGCAAGTTTGCAAATTTACTTAATAAATTTCACAACTATTTGTATTTTTTTAAAATTCGAAAAATGTATAAATATTATAATTAAGCTATTTTTGTGAATATTGGGCCAATTTTGATAATTTAACTACCAATATAACCATAATAATCTGCTAAACCTATTTAATATTGAAGTTTGCAAATTTACTTAATAAATTTTACAACTATTCATATTTTTTTAAAATTTAAAAAAATATACAAATATTATCTTTGTGAATATTGGGCCAATTTTGATGATTTAACTCCTATTATAACCATAATAATTTGCTAAACCCTGTTTATTATTGCAAGTTTGCAAATTTACTTAATAAATTTTGAACTATTTGCATTTTTTTAAAATATTACGCAATATTGCAATTCTTGTACAATATTATAGGTTTAAAATTTTGCTGATATCTTAGCAAATATTAGGTTAATTTTGATAATTTAACTACTATTATGACTAGAATAACTTGCTGAATATTATTTTTTATTACAATGTTGTGAATTTTCTTAATATGTTTTGAACATATTCATATTTTTTAAAATTATTGCGCAATATTGCATATCAATTGTAATTATTATATTTTAAAAATTTGTTGATATATTTTGTAATTTGCTAATAAACCTTAACAATTTTTAAAATTTTATAATATTTTGAATATTTTTTATCTAAAATATTTTAAAATATATTTTTTTAATATTTTGTAAAATTTTGTGAAATTTTGTGTAAAATATTTCAAATTTTGATTTTTTAAAAGTTTTTAAAATATTTTGCAAAATATTGCAAAATTTTGTGTAAAATATTTTAAAATTTTGATTTTTCAAAAGTTTTCAAAATATTTTGCACAAGATTGCATTGTTTTTGCATATTGTAAATTCTTGCATAATATTTTGTATATATAAATTTGCTGATGTATTATTCGAAATGAAGTACTCACTGAACCCAATAGACTCCTTTTCTAGTATAGATTAGTATAAGTAGACTCAAATACAAATGATAAATACCCAATGGTTAGTACTATTAACCAAGGCAAATATTAATTTAGTAAGAACTAGGCTGTTTTACTAATACATTGTACTATTTGAATAAATGAACTATCTTATACAACTTACTTAAAACAGTCTTAAGATAATCTTTAGTTTAATTCAGTTGTATAATGCAAAAGTTTTTTTAAAAATTCACTCTGGCAGCCTTTTTCTCTTTCATACAGTGCTATGCCAAAAACATGCAAGAAAATTAATCTCACATATAGACAAAAAAGAAAGCAAAATATCAAACACTTGAGAACAAAGTAAAACTTCTCAAAAATAAGAAATCACAATTTGAAGAGAAGAATTGTCAGAGAAGACATAATCTTCAAATTTTAATTGATCAACTTTAGGATAAAGTAGAACTCCTTAAAGAACAGAATAAAGAACAAAAATTATAGTTTGAAACAGATATTAAAAATATTCAAGAACAATATGAAGCAGAAAGCAAAAATTTTCAAGAACAATATGAAGCAGTAATTAAAAATATTTAAAAATAATTTGAACAACTTAAAGAAGAAATTAAAAATTTTCAAACACAGAAATAAAGAATCTTTGGATGCAATATGAAATAAAATTGAGTAATTTCTAAAAAAATATTGAACCAAAAATATGAGATCTCTAGAAACAAGAAGAGTATGATTTTTTATTAAATAGTTGTTATTGTTATTATTATCTTATTGTTTTGGCTTTTTATATCCCAGGTATATCTCTGAAGATATACCAATATGCTTTAATAATTTTGGTAAGGATAATGGTTAAATTTTCTTCATATCTATTTTAATAGATATTGTAATAATTACATTCTTTTGAAAAAAAAACCAGGACCAACAGATCCTACACAATTTTGGCAATTTTTGACATTTAATAAGAAATATTCACAGACTTTCACTAGTTACTATAATGATAATAGTAACTAGCATCTACAGTATTATCCTCTTATGATAGTACAAAGTTTATAATATCATAGATCTGATTATTAAAAATAATAGATTTAGAGTTAGTTGTAAGAGTAAACTTAATTAGAGACACACTAGAATTAATTTAAGAGCTTACTCTTGGTTTTTATAAGAATATTTTATTAGGCTGAAGTGGAGGTGAGCAGAGTGGAAACCTTTCTATACTATACTAATTTCAGACGATGTCTGGCTCCCACCTCAGTAATGAAGATATATTGATTTTGTTAACCCCTGTAGAAATTAATTTATTAGACTCTAATCATTAATGTTAGGATAAATAAACTACATTATTAGTAATTTAAAGTTATTATATGAAATGCAAAAAAATAAAAGAATTTTCATCCAAACAAAAAGCTGCAAGAAATAATGCTTGAAAAAAAAGATTAATTTATATGATACTTGAAGAACAATAATAATAAAGCTATCGAATCAATAAAAAGACAAAATTGATGCAAATGCTAAAATATATACGTAATAATGGAAAAGAAAATATGAACCCAAACAATGAACGTAATATTAATATATATTCAAGAAATCACAAATATAAATATGTGCAATTATTTATTAACTAATGTTATGGTTTTTAGAAATTAAACCATCTTGCCGCTACTACTTGCATGCCAACTTTCTGTTGACAATAATAAGCTTTAAAAAAATTTTGTAGTGCAATTTCTGCATAATTTCTGCTCTATTTGTAAGGTTTTCTTATACTGTATTGTATTGATACATAAAATAGGATTATTTAATAAATGCAGTAAAAAAAAATTAATGAAGAAATAAATAGTATATAGAAAGCTTGCAAAACTAAAATTTTTATTTAAGAGAAATTCCTATAGGTTTTATATTTGTAGCTATGTCAAGAGTCTGTGCTCTTTCTGTCTTCTTCTTCAATCACATATTCTTTTATAATAGAATACAAAGGTTAGATGAAAGTACATATTTACAAAAAGGATTGGCTGAAGAGCAGGGATTATTTTCTTTGTAAAATATTAAATTAGAGATTGTCTTTCACACATGCATTCATATAAATTTATAAAATATGCTATATATTTATAATTAATGTATATTCTAATACTCTGTGCTAAAAATTTTTATTTCAAATTTAAGAACCTAAGAAGTAGGGCTCCAGCCCTATGAAACGTCGCCGTTTTATTACTAGTTTTTAAAGCTACGTTGAAAATTTTATTGTAAAAAAACAATTTGATATATGTAAAATTTTAATTAATAATAATGTTAATAAAATATGCCTTTTACTTATTATTGTAAAATAATCATAATTTTTTTTGCATAACTTATGTAAAATTTAGTCAATTAGTTGTGTAATTTGTAAAACATACGATAGATCGAACTTTTAAAGCTGATACTTTGTAAACAACGTGATGAAAATTATATGAAAACTGATAAATTTCTGTAAAATTTACATGTATTGTAAGATTGTAACTTTCGTAACACAATCCTTAAATGATTCAAAGGAAAACCAGGATACAGATAATTGAGTCCGGTAAATTATATTAATAATCCCAATCTTGATATAATGATCGAGGAATTATAAATTTAAGTCTGATTAAGTGCGTCGTAAAATATGCCAGTTATGAGTCAGACATTAGTACATATAGTTAATTATATACAGTATCCTATCATAGATCATTATCTGCATAGCGTGAATATACTGTGTATTTCAAAGGGGAAAGTCTTCAGACACTTACCATTCACGAGAATTTGCACTTACCAAATTATTCGGACATATCGATATATGTCCGAATAATTTGGTAAGGGCAAATTCTCGTGAATGGTAAGTGTCTGAAGACTCCCCATTCAAAGGGTTGGAAATGTTACCGTTACCAACAATTGACGATGTAATTTCTTTTTATTAGAAGATCAGACCCTCTTGTAATAAATGGCACTTTCCCAAATTTATCGATTCATTGATAATCATGAACAGAATTTGGAACTTTTCTTAATGTTAAAACTAGTTTTAATCGTTTTAACACAATGATAAGAAATAATAACCGAATCCAAACTAATGAATCAATTGTTTCAGAATTGTATAATATCAAATACGTATATTTTGAATATTTTAGAACAATTCGATTAGACGATTGTTGCTAAAATTTAAACAATCCAAGTTTAGTGAAGAGCAAATATACTTTTTAGAGTTTTAGGATCTTCCGTATCTCAGCAGACTAAAATATATCCGGTAAGCAGCCTTACATTCATTCATCATCCTGTTCCAACTTCAATTCCTTGAAGCTCGTTAAAGTTATTAATCTACATGAAGTCTAAAGAATACATCTATATTTATCTCTAACTGGCATGGGGGTGTTCCACAATTTTTCAAACTTTTTTTATTTGATTTTCGAATAGATACAATAAAAAAAGTTTGCCATAACGATAAGTTACAAATGCTAATTATATAATAAAAAGATTCATAAAACGAATTTGAAGTAGGAAATATTATGTGTTACTATTTGTAGATCATTCGATTTACTCAAAATTGTCTATACCGGGTGATCTTTTTTTAATTACTAAATGATTATAGATGCAGACTTATGACATCACCTAGTTACGCCCTATATAAAAAATCGGTTTATAAAATAAACCACAATTGAGCCGTAACTAGTAACGTCAATAAGTCTGCATCTATATAAATGATTATCACTTAATAATAATTCTTTATATTGCAAATATATTTCGTCATAAAAAAAATTATTATAAGCGGAGATAGCAAAAAAGGTCCTGTTCAGGGACTTTTCACCAAACGGTATTGTAACCATCGTAAGGGAAAGCTTGGTACTGTCATACCGAGTTTAACTCCGAATGACGTTAGAAAACCCCCTAGCATGACCGCCAAAATCAGTTACGTAATCGCTGTTTAAAATCTGAGATCTTGTAATCCAGCAACGATATATAACGATAAAACCTTTATTGATGTTATAACGATTTAAAATTTTTATTAAAAAAATTTTATTATAAAAGGTATATTGCGTAAGATATTATAATGATAAACTTAAAATTTTAATTATAAAAGATTTTTATTGTGTAAAAGAAAATGCCAATGTTCGTTCGAAATTATTCTGTGAGCTTTGTTATCTAACGTTATATACCATAACATGAAATATTTATGAATTACCAATAGAAAGTATTCTTGCTTCAGGTTTTTGGAAGGTTTTTTGCTTGGTTCAAGATTTTTTACGTCGTCTACCATCTTTTGAATCGGTTGAAGCTTGATTCAATATTTTCAACCATTCTTTTTGCTGTGGAAGGTTATAAGGTCAAGCGTCTATATTAGAGTAATATTAATAACACTTTTGTTATGTTATACATGTATAATTAATTCGATAAAAATAATAAATAATCTATACCTCATGAAGAGTTTTTTATGCTGATTGATAATTTTCAATTCTGTTCATCATTTGATTCATCTTCTACAATATTATCATTGTCAAAAGCAGTTGAATTAATTGTTATCGCTAAAGAAAGTTGTACGTGTTCAGATGACATGTGAATGTTCTTCCATATTGTTTTTTCAGCATCTTCAATTATTGGATAATTTGAATTTCGCTGAACCTTAATTGAAAATTATTAATAATAAATAGAGAATTGTTAATGCCACCCCTAAATATCAAAAGGTGCTCCGGAAGAGGTATTTCTATTAAGTAAATCCTTATTTTGACCTTAATAAATGTTGTTCATCAGGCCTTTCCGGTTCTAACGATAGTAAAATCATTAAAATTGGATCAGTAGTTCCTAAGATATATATAGTTAACTTTTATTTACTTTAAAAAAAACTACTGGCCCAATTTTGATGATTTTACTACCATTAGAACCGGAAAGGCCCGATGAACAACTTTTATTAAGATCAAAATAAGGATTTACTTAATAGAAATACCTCTCCCGGAGCACTTTTTGATATTTGGGGTGGCATTAACAATTCTCTAAATATACGTTTTCAAAATACAATATAAATAATTTTTATCAAACCTTCCTAAAGAATGTTACTGATGCTAATTTATTTTGTGAATCAACTCTAACAAGAATAGCACTTCTACAATCATAACGGTCCAATCGTGACTCTGTGTTGCGTTGCTTAGAACTATCTAAAACATTTATTGTTTTTTTTTTTCTAGCTCTTGACGGCAATTGCACAATGTCATACTTTTGTTTGTTTATAAGTTTATTTTAAACTACATCTTCAAAATCTTCAGGTTCTATAGATTCTCTTGCATTTCATAATATCCATATTCTTCTCTTGATGTTTCTGTTTTTTTTTCTTTATTTATACGTGTTAAGCATTCGATACATGTTTTTTTATTATTTTCAAATTCATTATTGTTTATTTTTCGACAAAAATGAACATTTTTTTGGATTCAATTAGACAGAATAATCGGTTTCCA